GTCCTCGATTTTCTTCTCGTCAGCGGCGTATAGGAGAGGTACGAGTTAGAACCTAGCTCGACCTGATCTTGGTTATTTATAACCTCTTTCTTTGTACAATCAATCGCAATTAATTGCACATATTGACAAATTCCTTGAAGCTTTGCTGATGCGTCTAAAATGCTTTGTAAAAAGTGGCACCGTTTCTAAAATCTCATTAAGAATGAATTTTGAGCAAGTTCTAAATGACTTTGAAGAGATTATTATAATTGATATTTCATTTAGTGAGAATGTAGAGCAACGAATTGATATTTTCTCGGACAGCACACAACCGTTGAGAGTGAGGATTCAGATGCAACTGCTCTGCACATAGTCGCGTAACTTCGAAAATCATGGATTTCCACATGGACATATACCTGATGCATGTGCATATCATTACTGCTCTATAAGCCTGAATTCAGCAGTGTACAATTTCGGCTTCATTTTGCGTCTTTTAACTTGTATGTTTACTGGTACTACTTTGATTCCCTAATAATGAAAGCCTTAGCATTCTGCTAGGTGTTCTTGTCTTCCACAGCGTAGTTAAGCAACATTCTGTTGTGAGTTCGCTGTAAAATAGTAGCGGGAAAATAATTTGCCGAATAATCAATCCCGAAAGAATGACGATAATAGTGCGTGGCTTAAAATATTATGAATGTGTGAAGGAATTGTGAAATCTCCAGCCGATCCTCTTTAAATGAGCATTCTTTGAAGATTGAGAATTGTTCGCGCCAGTTTCACGTTTATTCGAGCTATGCTACGTTCGTTAAATGAAAAATTTTGAACAGTTGGTTTATCATTTCGGCTACGGACTAAATTTATTCTTTCTGAATTCTTGCAAAATCCTTGAAACCTCCGATAAATTGCTGTTTTACGTTGGGGGTGTTTTGTTGGAGCTCAAAATTGGTCGTGATTTTCTTTGTGACTGTAGTTTCTTTCATTCTCGATGTCATTTGTTTGTTTAATAAATTCAATTCTGTCAATACTGAAAAACAGTGTTGTTTCGCAATTGTTTTAGTCTTACGTTGCCAATTTAAAGTTAATGTTACCTTTAGGTTTCGAATTACAGTAATGCCCTTAATAGTTATGGCACTGTAACCTACTTATCTAAGTATTGAAACTTTCTGTGATCCGTGGTCCGAACGTGTTTTGCTCTTTTGGTGTATTTCTTGGAATCTTTACACATTTCTTAGCTCTTCACATTTAGTTGGTATGTTATTCTGAAGATAGAATATCATGTTTCAAACCTGTATTTTTATAACGTCCCTTTCTCGCTGACGCTGATTTTTCATTAAACAGCATGTATTACAAAAATGTAGAATTATCTGCTCTGGTTTCAGGCTCATCATTAAGCACAGTTCGTACTTGACAGTCTAGGGCAAACCTGTTTTTTGGTTTCGTGATTACTGCCGTTGAGGATGTGATAGAGTTTTGTCTTCGTCTAGGGGATACCACAGCTTAGTCATCGTAGTCGCCCAGTTATATATCATTTAACTGTTTGAACATATATCTCAGATTGAACTTAGACATAAGTCACTGCTGTGATTATTTTTGTCACTAGCTTACAGAAGAGAATCTGTTGAATACAATGAATCGGCCGAATTTGGTTTGGTCTCTTCATTTCATGGGTTCAGAGCAATCTGGTAGTGCGGAAATTGTGAAATGTATGCACATTAGCGAATGATGAGCAGCAATAAAAGAATAAATTATTTAGGGTAAAGAATCGACCAAGTTTTTCGTCTTGGAACAAGGAAGTAGCATATTCGCTGTCATCATGATTGTTTAGAAAAAGAAAATTTTTCTTCAGAATCGCATTTCTGTTTTTTTATCCAGTGATTTGCTTGTTTTCAGGATGCTAGCAAAAATCTGCTCAAAGTTGCAGATTGAACTTGTAGCGAAGAGTTGCACACTGCCTAACTGATTGTCCAAATTTTATTGCCACCCTTATCAAAAAGACAAGTAATTTTGATGTTTTTAAAACAGAATGCTTGGAGAAGACGAACAAGTAAGCAGCTTTCTGTTATTTAAAAAAATACGAAGTTTAGTACAATACTGTATGTTGAAAAATGTCAAGTACAAGACAAAACGTTTAGTAGAAAGTTGAAAAGCGGCACAAAATACCATTCTGTTATATGAGTATATAAGGTTGAATAAAGTCAACGGTTAAAGCGAACGATGTGCTACTGTAGTCAACCTCTATCTTAGAAAGAAACTGCCATCCCTTCTTCTTAAAATAGGTTTATGAGATTGTTGAAAAACGTCGTTTATGGTCTGTACGATTGAGCATTATTGCGTATTGCGTTGCTTTTAAATAAATCCTTTTTTGCTGTTTTTTTCTCTATAACTGCCAGCTCACAAGCAAAATACTCCGTTATGTGTTACGTTTATCTATTCTTGTGTTATTTTTGTGGCATAGTTTGAATTCTTGTTATACGCTAGACCAGCCTTTTTCCTTCGTTATTATACTGTGCACGGTGAGCCTCCTTACTGATACAGGCCGAATGCTTCAGCACGAACAATTGCATCTTGTCATTTGTCCGACGATACAATTACCGGATCGATTATTCACTTCCATGACCGAACACCCTTATGCCAGTTGTACTGAAGACCCCTTCGATACTCGAAAAATATGTTAATCGTTAACTATTCGTTGTCTGCGCAAAGCGGCAAAAACTTTTTGCTGTTATTATTAAGGTCGCTATTTAAATTTTTTTCAACTAATCTGTTCCACTTTTCTGT